TAGCCGTTGTTAGATGGATCTTAGCTGAAAGCAGAGAATACCAGAAGAATGGCTATCTGTGTTTCATTGATTATGCAGAGGCATTTGGCTGCATGGATCATAACAAACTGTGGCTGACTCTGAGAAGAATAGGAATCCCAGAACATTTAATCATGCTAATGTGAAACCTATACTTGGACCAGGAGGCAGTCATCAGAACAGAGCAGGGCAACACTGAATTGTTCAAAATTGAGAAGGGATGTGTCCTATCTCCATACCTTTTCAATCTGTATGCAGAGCAGATTATCTGAGAGGCTGGACTCTATGAGGAGACACGTGGCATTAGGATTGGTGGAAGATCTATCAACAATCTGCGTTATGCAGATGACACAACCTTGCTCACTGAAACTGAGGAGGACCTCGTGCACTTACTGCAGAGGGTCAAGGGCTACAGCCTTCGGTATGAACTGAGGCTCAATGTCATGAAGACAAAGATTCTCACTACTAGACCAATTGGTAGCATCAGGATGGATGGCAAAGAGATTGAAATTGCTCACAGCTTCAGTTTGCTTGGCTCCACGGTCAACACTCTTGGCACCAGCAGCCAGGAAATCAAAAAAATGTATTATGATGGGAAAGTCTGCTGTTAGGGACCTCTCTAAAGTACTCAAGAGCAACGGTGTCTCTTTGGAGACAAAGGTACGCCCAATACAGGCCATGGTCTTTGCAATCACTTGTTATGCATCACAGAGCTAGACAATGACTAGGGAGGACAGAAGGAGATTGACACCCTTGAGCTGTGGTGCTGGAGAAGAGTATTGAATGTACCATGGACTGCCAGGAAAACAAACAGATTCATCCTAGAGAGGGTTAAACATGGCTATTCCTTGGAGGCAAAGATTCTGGGGCTTTGTCTGACATACTTTGGACATGTTGCAAGGAGAGACAGGTCTTTGGAGAGGGACAGCGCAGGAGGGGAAGACCCTCTATGAGGTGGATTGATTCAGTGACTGGGGTAATCGGGATGGGTGTGTCAGAGGCAATGCGATTGGCACAGGATAGAGCATGGTTTAGGGCTGTTGTACATAGGGTCGCTATGAGTCTCAAATCACACGACGGCACATAACAACAACCAAAATTTTAAGTATTTACATAGAACACAGAGCACTTGTGGCCTACTGGTAAGAAGATGTGCTGCCATCCTGAAGGCATGAGGTTCAAATTCACCAGCTGCTTCTCAGGAGGATGGACAGTCTCCTTTCATGTGATTTACTGCTTCTGAAAACCTGCTAGAGGGTCAGTTATGAGTCCTTTTTGACTCAATGACACACAACAACAAGAGTGATAATGGTTGCCTAGTGGTAAGAAGCTGCACTGCAATCCTAATGTCATATGATTCACATCTATCAGCTGCTCCATGGGAGGATGGGCAGTCTCCTCGTGTGTGATTTACTGCCTCTGAAAACATGCTGGAGGGTCAGATTATGGTTCTCTTTTTACTTGATGGCACACAACAAGAAGTGAGAAACTATAAAAGTCTTTTTTTCCACCTTGAGTTTTAATTTTGTGAATAATAGTTTTAATTTAGCTCATCTCAAGATAAATGTTTCATTGATTATGCAAAGGCATTTGACTGTGTGGATCATAACATACTGTGGTTGACTCTGAGAAGAATGGCAATCCCAGAATACTTGATAGTGCTAATATGAAACCTATACTTGGATCAAGAGGCAGTCATCAGAAAAGAGCAAGGAACCACTGCATGGTTCAAAATTGGGAAGGGTGTATGCCAGGGATGTGTCCTGTCTCCATGCCTTTTCAACCTATATGCAGAACAGATCTGTGAGGCTGGACTGTATGAGGAGAAGTGTGGCATCAGGATTGGAGGAAGATTCATCAACAGTCTTCTTTAGGCAGATGACACAACCCTGCTTGCTGAAACTGAGGAGGACCTGAAGTCCTTGCTGAGAGGATCAAAGACTGTAGTAATCAATATGGGTTAAGGCTCAATATCAAGAAGACAACGATTCTCACCACTGGACCAATTGGCAGCATCAGGATGGATGGTGAAGAGATTGAGATTGTTCACAGCTTTAATATGCTTGGCTCCACAGTCAACACTCTAGACACCAACAGGCAGGAAATGAAAAGATATATTTTGATGGGAAAGTCTGCTGTTAGGGACCTCTTCAAAGTGCTGAAGAGCAAGGGTGTTGCTCTGGAGACTAAGGTGCACCTGATAAGGGCCATGGTCTTTGCAATCACTTGCTATACGTCAGAGAATTGGACAGTGACTAAGGAGGATAGAAGGAGAATTGATGCCTTTGAGCTGTGGTGCTGGAGAAGAGTATTGAATATATCATGGACTGCTAAGAAAACGAACAGGTTCATCCTGGAGAGGGTTAAACTGGGCTGTTCCTTGGAGGCAAGGATTCTCAGACTTCATCTGACATACTTTGTACATTTTGCAAGGAGGGACCAGTCCTTGGAGAGGACATCATGCTTGGGTGGGTGGAGGGACAGCGCAGGAGGGGAAGACCCTCTATGAGGTCAATTGAGTCAGTGACTGGGGTAGTCAGGGTCGGTGTGTCAGAGACAGTGAGCTTGGCACAGGACAGAGCAGGGTTTAGGGCTGTTGTACATAGGGTCGCTATGAGTCGCAAGCGACTCGACAGCACATAACAACAACAGAGAAATGTGATCATTGGAAACCATTTAAGTACAATAAATCAATGTGCACGGAATGAAAATATTGTATATTATTAATTTGATGTATTTACAACTTAAGAAATTCATATTTCCCCGTATATATTTGGCTTTTTGTTTATCCTGTGTGTTTATTTTGAAAAATGAGAAAAGTACTTTTTATAAAAAGTCAAATTTACCTCAGCTTTAGTTGCATACTCCATAGGGAGTTGCTTTGCTAAGCCAGAGGCCCTGCTTCTTGGTTCCTCAAACCCACTACCAGCTCTATAGGTAGGAGAAAGATGGATAGTCTCTGCCCTGTGTATTTTACAGCCTCAAGACCCCATTGGAGCTATGAATCTGCCCAGCCTCAACTGCGTTAAGTTTAATTTGAGGTTTTGTTTTTCTTGTATGACCTTACATTACTCACCTTCTCTTTGTGATCTCACTTTTAACATACTCTAAAGAGAAACTATTAAACCAGTAATGTCATATACTTTATCATCACTGTTTTTTCATTTCATTTCATTCTGCCCCATTTTTAAAACATGTATTTTCCCAAGATGCAGTAATAGGATTAGGGCTCTGGTGAAATAAAAAATCATTTTGTCTATATTTATTTGCATCATTTGAGTGTGCTTTATCATCACACTTGACTCATCACTGAGTTAGAACCAACTCTTCAAAATAGACTCTCCAGGAGGTTTTCTAGAGGCTGTAAATCACATGGGATAAAAATGCCCATCTTTCTCTCATGGAACAACTGGTGGATTTGAACTGCCTGCTTTTGAGTTGGCAGTGCACCTCCATACTTACGAGGGGACCAGGTCTCCATCATTCTTCATAGACAATGGCTATTTGAACTTACAGTATGGAATTATTATAATTTAGTAACAAAGTTGAAAAAGCATTGTGTTTATAAAATGTTTCTGTAATTTGTTAGTTTTCCACCATTTTGGCAAAAGAATATTTTTAAAGTTTATCTCAGTTTTGAAGCTAAAGTAGGAAACATTTGGACTTTGATTTATATATGAAATTTTAATGTCACCGTATTTTGTTTTCAGTAGTATTAGAATTGTTTGTTGTGTTGTTTACCATAGAGTCAGAACCAACCCATAGCTGACCTTTAGGTGGATTTTTAGAGGCAGTTAATTGCACAGGAAGAGATTGCCCAATTTTCTCCCGTGGAGCAGCTGGTGGCCTCGAAGTGCATGCTTTTAGGATTGCAGTGCAGCTTCTTACCACTAGGCCACCGGAGCTCCCTTATGAACAGATCTTTTATTTAGACTACATTTAATTTTTTCATTATTTATTTCAATGAAAGTTCACAGAGAGTTTGTGTTTCCGTTCATTCATTGTTGCACTTCTCTCCCTGGCCCCCCGCCCGCCCCCAGTTCACGCTTCTCTTTGAAAAGTAAAAGAAAAATTCCTTTATTGTTATACAATTCCTACCCCCAAGTCCACTCCACTATGCCGCCTTCCTTCTGGACCCCTGTCATGACAATTATACCTAATCATATATCCCTTTTAAACCTTGCTCTCTCCCTCATCTCTTTCAGTGCAGTATACATAATTTATCCCATCTCTCTCAGTCTTCCCCCAACCCTGATGTCAGTCCTGTTTTACAACAGTGGCACTATGCAATATTTCTCCTTTTGTGACTGTACATTTCATATTTATAGGAGCAAACACTGAAGTAAAAAGAATAATAGGCATATAGTATTTTTGGAAAATATATTGTTTTATATATGTTCAGAGGATAAAGTTCATGAATATATTCATTGCATAGTTTGTGTTTAGTATTCATGTGAAACTACATCTTACATTTTAAGACTACCACAAAAAATGAATTTTGAAAATATATTTAAAATGTAATCTCATGTTTCATTAATGTATATGGTTTTTAAATAAAGCATACAGATATTTCACTAAATTTAGAAATATATACATTTTCAAGCATGAAGGTTTTTTTGTTTCAGTTGAAAAAATATGATTTTATTTTTATAACATTTTCTCAAAATTAGGATAATTCTTAATTAAAGCTATAATTATGGCTACTGAATATTTATATATGGATATTCATGAATAACTTTGATTTAAAAAATGTTCTATGGATAAGTTTTATGTAATTGTTAACATGTAGTATATCTGATCTTGTGTACTATTTTCCCCGGTAATGTAACACTTCTAATTGTTGCATAATAGGTCATCAAGTGAAAATAATTACTTACTTAATATATTGGAGGTTAAAACATTTCACCATTCATTTATGCCTGAGAACCCAATGGTAATGGTAAATTTTTAATAACATGCCTTTTCCCCTTTATATTTTACAGTGGATGATGTTGGGGAGAAATTAGAACATATGGGAAACACACCATTAAAAATCAGCAATGATGGTTCACAAGATATTAAAGAAGACGAGTTTGGTTCAGAAGTAATAAAAGTATATATATTTAAAGCCGAAGCTGAAGATGATGTTGAAATAGGTATAAAGACTAATTTATCTCTGTAGTAGTTAAAGGGTAGAATCTGTTCTCATCACTTCCAGGGCACAAGCTGAAATTAGGGGCCCTAGTTGTGCAGTGGATTAAGCACTGAAGTGCTGACGTAGAGAAAGGTCAGTGGTTCAAACCCGCAAGCTTCTCTTTGGGAGAAATAATATGTCAGTTGGCTTCTGTACAGATTTACAACCTTGGAAATAAAAGCAGCAGTCTACTCTGTTCTGCCAGGTTGCTATGAATAGAAATCAACTCTGTTGAAATGGGTCGTCAGAAAGTGTCTTCAAAATGCATGTTTTTTCAATAGATTTCTTTGGAATTTGTATTTAAATATAAAACTTGACTGTAGAATATATTGCTCTGTTAAACCAAAAGTCATGTGTCTGGTAGTTCTAATCCACCAGCAGCAACTCAGGATAAAGATGAGCAGACTCTTTGGTTTACAGCCTTTGAGGAGGGTCGCTGTGAGTTGCAACCAAGTCACTGGCAGTGAGAGATATATATGTGTGTATAATACATAGAGAATCTTAAGTAAGTAATATATTCCAGATTAACACTTCAAAAAACAGAAGAAGGGTCTGGTTTAGAGGATAGACTGAAAATTTTAAAATAGGTAGGTAGGTAGGTAGGTAAGTAGAGTTTGATTTAGAGAGAAAAATAGAGTAGATTAAGAGCACAACTTCTAAAGGGAAACTGCTTGTCTTTTAATCCTAGTTCTGTCATTCTAGTGTGTGACCATGGTTAAGTTACTGAACTGTTTCCACGTCTGTAAAATAGATATAATGATAATGGTTTTATAGGACTGTTATAAGTATTAAATTGGTAAATATATCTAAAAGACATGTTAAAAAATATTAAACACATCCCTTGTCCTCTTTGATTCAAGTCAAATTTGAATCATGGTAGTTCACCTCAGTAGAGATTTTAATGACTGTAATCTTCCACATGTAGATTGCCAGACCTATCTTTTGTGATGCTGCTTAGTGGATTCAGATCCCCAACCTTAACAGTTAGTAAATCCACTGATGTTGAGTCAGTGTGGACTAATAGAGACGCTCCATCAGGTTTCCAAGGCTGTAAATCTTTACAGAAGGTGATTGCCTATCTTTCTCTTGCAGGGTGATGGATAAATTTATATTGTCAACATTTTGGTTCATGGCTTGATATGTTTATTACACATTATACCACCGGTTAATACATTGTAGACCATTTATGCCACACAGGAACCTTAAAAGATATATACAGTATTTGGCATATAAGCGTACTGTGTGTTGGCAGTTGTAATTTCTGAAGGATGACTTAAAAATTTTTAGATTTGATTTATATGTCAGTATTCTTGACACTTTGAAATTTAGTTGGAATACTTTCTCAAGTGAAAAATATTTCTTATATATACTCATTATTTTAGGGAGTTACTCTATGATACGTATCTATTTTTAAGGAGGAACAGAAATTGTCACAGAGAGTGAATACACTAATGGACATTCTGTAGCTGGAGTGCTTGACCAGAGCCAAATGCAACGGGAGAAGATGGTTTACATGGCAGTAAAAGATTCTTCTCAAGAGGAAGATGACATCAGTAAGATCATTAAAACGCACTATAGTGACTTATCAGCAACCGTTATGCATTCTTTAGAAAAATAGCAATAGAAGTTGTTGTTGTGTACCACCAAATTGAAATTGACCCATAGTTGACCCTCTTTTCAGAGGCTGTAATCGCACGGGAGATTGCCCATCCTCCCATGAAACAGCAGGCAGATTTGAACCCTGTGCCTTTGGGATTGCTCCACACATTCTTAATCAGTAGGCCACCAGAACTCCCTATCTTAGAGGTACAAGCATTATTTAGGAACAAAGTTCCATTAAAAATCTGACTCTGCTGTGATTGCATACATATATTGTTGAAATCAGTAAACTACTAGTAGTATGTCAGGTACTGTACTAAGAATGCAAAGATGATCAACATATAATTTATGCCTATAGTGGAGCTCACAAATATGTAACTGTTGAGCTAGGAGAGACTTTTCTCTGAAAAGGGATTTCATGCTTGGAAAGGTGGAGGGTCAGCGAAAGAGAAAAAGATCCCCAACAAGATAGATTGACACAGTGACTACAACAATGGGCTCCTGTGTCTCAGACATGGTGAAATTGGTACAGAACAGGACAGATTTCAGGTCTTTTCTTCATAGTGTTTCCGTGAGTCATACTCAACTTGATGGCACTTAACAACATCCTGTTTTACACTAGTCATGAATAGATATATTTTTTTATAATAGTATTTAAGGCCCAAAACTCATCTCCAAAATGCCTACTACAACCACTATGTTACGGAAAGAAAAAAAGTATCGAAGGTTTTAAGTAATTTCCACATATCATTATAGTATTGAGGAAGTCAAGATTTGAATGCCTATCTAACTCTATAGCTGGTATCCAGTCTAGAAGGTGTGTGAAGTAGTTGGATTCACAACGGTGTGTTTTCTTGTTTTGGTTGAGGCTTGGGTGTGGAATGTTTGCTTGTTTTTTTCTTTTGTTCAAAATTGGGTGTGAGCTGATTGGACTTGGCCTTGCACTGTAAAAGGCAGTTGGTCTGGGGCTGGTATCCATTCTGAGTAGATGAGTGGAACAGTTGGTTTCACAAAGAAGTGCTTTCTTGTTTAGGTTAAGGCTTGGGTGTGGTATTTTTGCTTGGTTTTGTTTTTGTTTTGTTTTGTTCACAGTTCGGTGTTAGCTGACAGGATGTCTCCTGTTAATTGTTTATTGAAAAAGATGGTTATCCGTTTCTGTCTGATATGAGTATGAAAAGATGTGTTGATCAGTTGGATTCCATAATGGTGTGTTTTCTTGTTTTGGTTGAGCTTTGGGTATGGATTATTTGCTTGTTTTTCTGTTTTGTTTGTGAGCTGATTGGATTTGGTCTTGTATTGAAAAAGGCAATGGGTCCCCAATTTGGGGCTGGTATCTAGTCTGAGATATGTGGAACAGTTGGATTGTGATAAAGGTGTGTTTTCTTGTTTTGCTTGTGACTTGGGTGTGGTTGGTTGAGGCTTGGGTGTAGAATAATTACTTGTTTGGATTTTTTGTTTGTTTATTTTGTTCACAATTGGGTGTGAGCTGATTGGATTTGTCCTGGTATTTAAAAAGATAGTTGGAAAAAAAAAAAAAAAGATAGTTGGTTGCCAGTTTGGAGCTGGTATCCAATCTGAGAAGATGTGTGGAGCAGTTGGATTTGACAAAGGTCTGCTTGCTTGTTTTGGTTGGAGCTTGGGTACAGAATGTTTGCTTGTTTTTTTCTTTAGTTCACAATTGGGTGTGAGCTGATTGGATTTGGCCTTGTATTGAAAAAGGCAGTTGTGCCCTTGGTCTGGTTTTAATTGTTTTTGGTCAAACATTCTTGTTAATTAGCATGGGTCTGTCAGTTTGCTTTACAGAGGTAACTTATGGTTGCTAAACACTGTGACTCTGATTTGTAAATGTGATAATGGTTACCCATGGTGGACAGTGTTTGGTGGAGCTCCCAGATTATAACAAGCTTGGAATCAGAAGTGACATCCACTTCTGAAATAACTTGCCTCTGTAAACTCTATGAACTTAGAGAAATGATGATAGTTATAAAACAGGGTTCAGGGCTTTCATTTATAGGGTCACTATGGATCATCTACTACTCGATGACACTTAACAACAACATCTCTACAGCCATTGTTCTTCCTGTGAATCTGCTGTTGACTTATTTTTAGATGCATGCATGAAAGGGTTTGCTAGTTGCTCTTTTACTGAGGGATTGAATATTTTTCCAAGCTTTCCTGCCAGGATCTTTACTTACTATGCTGTTGATGAATTTCAAGTAAATGCTTTTTTGAGGCTGAGTGTCACAGGGTGAATAAAATACCTTAGGTTTCCTTTCCTGATATCCTGTGCTTTCCTTATTATAACAATTCTTTCTTCTTTGCTGAATTTTGCCTCATTATGGGAAGACTATCCTTCACTAAGGCTGTTTTAGTCATCCTTCCTTAGGGAGACATCCTTTTAACAACATCCTGTCTTACACTAGTCATGAATAGATATATTGCTTAGATAGTATTTAATTACCAAAACTCCTAGAAGAATAAGTACCTCCATTCTCTTCCAGTACTTTGTGAATGTGGAGCCTTACCTGTGGTGCACATCAATTTCTACTCTTCAAGTTTCCTTCCTTAGAAGCCGTGGGAAGCGGAATTCCAATTCCATTTAGGAAAGGAGTTGAAAGAAATTTTTATTTGGGCTCAATTTCTTTTTTATTCACTAGTCAGGAAAATGGCACAGTAGAAAGTAGAAGACTTAAGCTTAGACTAAATAAAACCAGAAAACCATGGAACTATGAAAAATTTTAAACCAATGTCTTTCTGAATGATGGAAAGAAGGGAAGCTTAGGAGAAGTGGGATATTCCCTTACCCCAGATTTTTATTCTGTAGTGAATAAATGATCCCTGTGTGTGAATCAAAAGCATACATTAAAGCAATTTTTTTATTTAATAAGCTATACCTAGACATTGTTGTTATGGTGTGATCTTGGGTCAGAACCGACTTACAGTTAGCCCTCCATTGGATTTTCAGATACTGTGTGTGTGTGTGTGTGTGTGTGTGTGTGTGTGTGTACACACACTACACTTGATCTTAGTCAAAAGGCATATATATATATATCTCACAGGAGAAGATGGCCCATCTTTCTCCTTTGTAGAAGCTGGTGGATTCGAACTGCTTATCTTTGTATTGACAACGCAGATTACTACACGGTCACCATAGCTCCCTCATCTAGACATTACTTTTCATAAATGTAGTAAATATATGCCAAGGTTTAAAATTTTCTTTTACCATACTACTAGTTTTTAACCCTCAATAAATTCTCTTGTAAAATCCTGCCCTCTTGAAGGGTACCCAGATATTCCTGAACAATGGCATTCATTATTATTTTGCAATGACAATTCTTTAATGATTTGTTTTGCTCAATTACTAATATTTTACTTTTTATTGCATTTATAGTCTACATTTCAGTTGAAGCATGTGGGATAGCATGGACCATTTAGTATTCTTCCTATGGGTAATAATTGCTGAGTATTAACCTGTTGTCAGACAAACTCCTGGAATACCAACTCTTTATAAACTAGTCTTCCTGGTGGACTATAAAATCAGTCAATACATTGCAAGCACAACAAATTTTCTATAATTGTAAAGCCACAATCATAGGACTAGGAGAGAATAAGCATTTGTTCATTGGCACTAATCTCAGAAAGTGTCTAATACATATTTTTTAAATTAGCCAAATTGAAATCTTGACAGTTGAAAGACTTAAATTGCATAGTTGGGGTTATAAACAAATTATTTCTAAAATTTAGGTTGTGCTGAAATAGCAGATGAAGTTTACATGGAAGTCATTGTAGGGGAAGAGGAAGGAACTTCTCTCCCTGAGACACAGCTTGAGGACTCTGATGTTAATAAAACAGTTGTCCCTGTTGTCTGGGCTGCGACATATGGTAGGACACTGGTATTTTTTCACCCAATAAGTACATGACATACGTATTTGATCAGCCTTTTGTCCATTGGTGGCTAGTGCCACCATGAGTTGGTTCTAAGAAAATGTTTTGCTGGCAATAACAAAATGTTTTACTGTGGACTAATTAATTTGTAAAAAATTCACATGGTTTTCCTACCAATAGCTGATAATATTTAAAAAATCTTTTTTTTTACTGCATTGCATTTTTCAGTAAGGTCTGTTTTAAATTTTTTTTTAATTTTTTTTTATTTTATTATTTTTGTGTGAATGTACCGTCAAATCAGATCTGATTGGTACAGGAGGAGATTGTTCCTCCTTCTCCCGGCATAGCGTCTGGTGGATTCGAACCGTGCACCTCTGGGATTGTAGTTGCAGCTCCTTTCCACTAGGCCACCAGAGCTCCCCAAAATTTTACATAATTAAGTACATATCATAAAAGTTCTTTTTCTAAAGTAGGAGAATTTGAAAACGGGTTCTTCCCTTTTTGGAAAAGCTTATTTCTTGTATTAAAATCAGAGATGATAAAATGCAGTGCTTTTCAAAAGGAATGGAAATCCAGTGTGGCCTTATAAAGTACAAATTGAAGAGAAATTTATCAAGTTATGTATTTTCCTTTTAATTTGTTTTTTTTTCTTTTTTTCTTTTTTCTCTTCTTGTTAATTGATTATATAGTCTGGGCATATACTTTAGTTTGAAAATTTTTTGTTTCAAATGCATTAATTTATTATAACTTGGTTCTTCCAAAGGTTCATTCATTCACCTGTCATTTATTGAACATCTTCAGTGCTGGGGATACACTAGAGAAAGATGTAATCCTCTAATAATCATTATAATCCACATACTAGTTTTTGAATTAGCCTTTTTTTCCTAGGAGATGAAAGAAGAGTTTCACGGAGGTATGAAGATTATCAAACATCAGGTGAGAGACCATTATATATGAATTGTAAATTAAATACCTGATTTTATACTGCTTGATAAATTATGTCTACAGACATTATTTGGGCTCATCCCTGGTCAGGCCTAGTGAAAAGGTTACATAGGTATTTAACCTTTAGTGGAATTGATTACTTTATCCTTGAGCGTGAGACATGTTAATTTGTGCGATATAACTCATTTTAGACTTGCCTCAAAAGGGAGCTCTGGTGGCCTAGTGATTAGGGATTATGCTGCCAGACCAAAGGCGAGTGATTTGAATCTACAGCTACTCCATGAGAAAAATGAGCAGTTTCTTTCCATACAATTTGTAGCCCCTGAAAACACACAAAATGGTCAACTATGAATGGATTCTGACTTGATGATAGT